CAATAATCTCCTAATGGTAAGACCCATTGACCTCGTTTCTGCACCAGTTTCTGGGACACCCTCATCCCACAGTTCTCCTACATCCTGCGCATCCCGAGCATCACTCCTCGTTGTTCACCTTCTGTGTATTTATTAGATGCTGATGTGCTCCAGTGTCACATTTCACCATCTCTCCTAGTCCTACCAGCTTTTCCTGGTTAACCTTACACAGATGGCACTTACCAGCAACGATTATCAATTCTCTACCACCGATCTTTGTCCCTTTCCCAAGATCCAGTCCTTTGTTTCAATCCTACTAGGTATTTTTTTTTACCTCCATTCCCCTCAGGTGCCTCTAATACCACCTGTTCAAACTTAAGCTCGTTGGTCGCTTCCCCTAAAACGTGTTCCTTTTTTCTTCCTCTGTAGTCAGTGACTTCACCATTCACTCAAAGCCAGGAATCTTACTGCTTCTGTCCAACTGCTTCTGTCCAACTACTTCTTGCAACCAACCAGGTATCAGGCTTTGGTGCGTTTCCCTCAAAACAACTTTTCAGATCTGAGAGGAAGCCCAACACCACTCTGTTTTTCAACAGGTACTGCTTATGTGTGCATCATCCCAGATAGCTTCCCGTGTTAGTGTTAGACCCATTGGTTCTACCTGCCTCCAGACTGCTGCCGAGTTTGTCATTCAAGAGAATAATCTCACTTCTTGAATGCCTCCACAAGCTTCTTAGTGCCACCACGGAGGGTGGTATAACTTGACAAATGTCAATCATCTTTGATCTCCTACTAAGCTCTTGGCACAGCCTTAGAGCTTCACCCACCCAGAGTGTGGTCAGCAGTGACATCATGAAGGACTTGTTAAAAAGCAAAATCTCAGGCCTCACCGGACTTTCTTATAAGAACGACTCAGATACACATCCAAAGTTCAAGAAGTGCTGGTTAGATGCGTTAATGAACTGAATTTCTCACCTCCCAAGACACATCATACCCTTTCAGATCTCCATGCCTTTGCAAAAGCTGTACCATCTACTGGGAATGTCCTATCAAAACTCTGCACCTTGCAAAGTTCTATACTACTGTAAGGGCACCTAGCACAGGCACAGAACATAGCAGCCAATAAATATTTGAATGACTGGATCATGTAATCAATTAATTAATGGATGAGAGTGGCTCCAGACTTGCAGAATCTGAGACACTCAAGTGCACTCAGGTGGAATGTGAATGTTAGGCAGTTGGACACAGTGGCCCAGAATTCAGAGGAGAGGTGGACTGAGCTGGCACTATTTTTAAGTCACTAGCAACTATCTGGAGGTTATAGTAATGGATAGATGAGGTCACCCACACTTAAGATGGAGAGAAGAGGACTATGGGCTAAATCATTGGGAAGGCTGGGATGTAAGGGACCTACTATGAAGTCGGTGAAGAGCAGGTTAGCAGGGTGGGAAAGAACCAAAGTAGGTATCAAGGAGCTCCAAAAAGATAAATGGACTTGGTGCAGGGTTATTGTTACCTCTGTCAATTGAAGTGGAATAGAACAATGAAATCAAAGATAAGGCAAGAGCTTAGCACTTCTTTATAGACTAACAACTGAATGAGACAAGGCTATTGGAATGACCACTACAAAGACCATCTTTATTTGATGAGAAGGGGGAGAGAGCTGGAACTGATGAGAGCCACCTCATATACACAGACCTATTGATAAAAAGGCTGCAAACTTTCAGTCACACGACATTTACTGAACATTTGCTATTTGCCACATACCATAAGCTAACACTGGGACTGTAACAAGAACACAAGTAATGCCCCTGCCTTGTGATCTGTGAGTGCAATGAAATAAACTGAGTAACTGATGGACCCCACAACAAATAGGGTAAGGAGCCAATGTAAAGTGGCTTGCCTCGGAGGAGGGGCAACATTTTTTAGGTAGTTGGTATAATGGCCAAAATGTAAACAGTAAGAGAGGTATATGGAGGGGATAAAGTTCACATTTAATCTTCATATTTTTTACGCAAAGGAAGACTCCAGGAAAGCAAAATGATAAAACATTTCACTTTGCTCCATAATGACTCTGAGATGGTAGGATCCCTATTTAAGATTTTATTTATTTATTTGACAGAGAGAGACAGGGAGAGCAGGAACACAAGCAGGGGAAGCGGGAGAGGGAGAAGCAGGCTTCCCGCGGGGCAGGGAGCCCGATGTGGGACTCGATCCCAGGACCCTGGGACCATGACCCGAGCCGAAGGCAGACGCCCAACGACTGAGCCACCCAGGCGCCCGGATCCCTATTCCTGACACACAAAGCACTGAGGCGCACGGAAAGGACAGAGGCCTGCAGCCATCAAAGGGCTAACAAGTGGTGGGGAGACAAGTACTTTTTAGCTTCACTCATGTTGACAATGTGAGAAACAGCAGCACCCCAAACTTTAACAAGATCCCCAGGTGATGCTGATGGTGGTACATGGGACACATGAGTTTACAACACCCGCCTAAGCCGTGCATGGTTCCTCATGTTTTCCTAATAGTGTCTGAAAGGATTCAACTAAGATCAAGAAATGAAAGGGCTAATAATAAAAGTCTTCAGTATTTGGCACATAGTCAAACCAACAGCAAGTTCTTACTACATGACAGATAACCAGTGATAGAAATTTAAGGAGGTCAATTAGAGGTAACTGAAGAGGAAAGTGGCTGCTTTAGAGGCAAAAATAGCATAGTGGTAAAAGCAAGGATTAAGAAGGAAATTTGTGACCTTGGCAAATTAAGTTATATAACTATTCTGTGCCTCAGTTTCCTCACATGTACAACAGGGATCATTATAATACATACCCTCCAGGGTTGCTAGGTAGAGGGAGTATATGTAAAGCCCTTAACAGTACCCTGACATTTAGTAACTGTTCGATCAAGGCTTTAATTTTACTACTTTTGCTACAGCTCTACTACTGCTACTATTACTACTGGTAGTATGACCTGCTACTGGGTAGGTAATAAAATGCATCAAGAGGACGTCCACTAGCAACCACAATATATACCAAAACTCTTTACAACCCATATGGAAACAGATCTAGAGGAAAAATAGCACTGCAATTTTTTAATATGTAAGCCTCCTCCACTTTGTTTTGCCAAATGTAGAAGCCAATCATGTTACCACTCAAATCGAATTCATAGCAATGAATGCCTAAAATGGCAAGAGTTATCTGAAGAAATACTCAAAGCCATACATCAATTACATAGCTTTTTGAGTTGTTCCCTAAGCAGGAAAACTGTACCTAAAAATAGTTGTCTTGTTAAGCTAAAGCTAAGCTCAAGTCTTTTCATGAGAAGTTCACTATCCTAGTATACAGTTTATGAGTAGAAGGGCCCTCCCTGTATTTATCAAAAATATCTTCAGTTGAGATTGTTCCTAACAAAGTGAGGTGTCCAGAAAAAATGAACTCCAGACAATTATCTGGACATCCCCGGAGGAAAAAAAATCCTCTACATGGTTTGTTATTCCACTTTTCTGCTCTAGATGTAGACTAAAATAATTTTCCCAGAAAGAACATGCGTTTCCACTTCAACTTCAGTTCAGTCCTTGACAAAACAAAGATGGGAATGTACCATGGAAACTGGTTACTGACCCTTCATCTTTTCCGGAAGCTTTACTTTGGAAATTTCACCCAAGTCTAAAGGATATGTATCAAAAAGGTGGAGGTGATGCTATACATCGAAGATTAGACCTGTTAATAGAATGTTGATCCCATGAGTAATGCTCACAGATGTGGCGTCCAACAATGGAATTAACATTTCAACAGGAAGTAGAGAACCATCCCAACAAAAAGGGCCACCCAATCCTTCCGAACACTTAAAAAAAAAAAAAAATCCTTCCAGAGGGTGCACAAAGTGTGCCTCCTGAGGGTCGCACCTATGGATTTTTTTTTTAAATTAACCATCTGGTTCTAAACGTGACATGTGCTTACCTTGACAAACGAGATCAGTTAGTTAAAACACTACCGTGAAAACAGATCAGTTTTTTAAAGCGTCAAATGATTAGGCTTTCTAATGGTCCACGCATTTTTTAAATGCCTTTTTTTCCCCTCCCGAGAAAGGCGCAGTCGAAAAACGCACTTAGCGAATCCTTTAGGAACTGCCCTGTACGAGTCATCCCCTCTTATCTTCAAAATGAATTAACTCATCATAAACGCAAACCGAGGTTACGAATTTCTTCTTTGCACTTTGCTCGGAGGCTGCAGAAATCATAACTGTATTTTTGCAGGAACCTAGTTTGGATTTCCAACCGTCTACTTCCTCGAGCTACCTTCTAGTTAACAGCTCGTGCTTAGGCTCGCCTCTTCTACGAGATCAAGAATGCTCAAGCTACTGTTCGTCTCGTGCTTGGGCTCGCCTCTTCTATGAGACCAAGAATATGCTCAAGCTACTGTTCGTTCAGCGCCTCTTTCCTAGAGGTGGCTTGGACGATCGGAGGCACTGAAAAGCTCAGTGTCTTATTTAATCATGGCGTTTGTAATTCAGCCTCCCCGCCTGGACTGCTCAACACCTGGAAACTCGCAGCCCAAGACTTTTGAAATCTAGTAACCCCAGACGGACACGACACAGCGGCTAACAAGGGAAAGGGCAAGAGTAAATAAAGCAAAGCTCGCACCCGCAGCAAAGAATGGTCTGGGAAAGACGCCAGGCGCACCCGGCATGCCGCGCCCACCCACCCGCGCCCGGGGAGCCCCTCCACTGCCGCCCCTCATCTCGGGGCTGGGTCCCTACTACCGCCAACTCCCACCCCCCCCGACATCTCACGCCCCCGCATGGCTCCCTTCGGAGCCGTTCCACCTTCCCAGCTCGCACGCCTGGCTCCGCAAAACCACACCAGTGCAATACCGCCCGCACGGCCACCACTGCCGCAGCGTCCCCAAATCGCACCCGTCCCCTCCCCCACGCCTCATTGTTCCCGGGTGGCCGCAGGCAGCGAGCGCCCCAGGGCGGTGCCGGCAATAGGAACCCTAGGAATCAAATTGCCCCCCACTCACCCGCGACTCCGCACAAGAGAACGAAGCGCAGCAGAAGCGCCATGGTGGCGGCCCGGCCGTGGGCGGTAACTGAAGGTAGGCGGCTCTCACCCGGGGAATCAGTCGCCCGGTGCCTGCGCGCTCCCGACTGGCTGGCGGCAGCGGCACCTCCGCACCCCCGTCCCACCCCACCCTCGCTTGGCAGGTGAAACACGTCACTTCCGGCAGTGACTGCACCCCGCGGCGCGCGCCGGCTCCGCCAGGAGCGTGGGGTTGCCATGGCAACCAGCGCGGGCTGCCCTAGGGATCCTCGGGAGTAGCAAGCTCCCGCGCCAGCTGCGTTCCGTGTTGGGGTGAGCTGGCAGCACTTCGCCCCAAGCACGAGCCGGGGTCCCTGCTTCAGTGCCTTCAGTTAAATCGGGGTTTGTGCACTAGGGTCGGGCCAGCCCCTCTCCCCAGACAACTGAAACTGCGGTCGCGCCCTTGCTTCAGGGTGCGGCACCGGACAATACTCGCCCGCCTGCCCCGAGATCCTGAAGGGCGGCAAATATGGCTGGCCCCGCGGGCACTCACCCCGCCCTCCCCTCAGGGTAGTAGGGAATGGGGGGGTGGGTTTCCAGCCGTGTGTCCCACCTCTGGAGGTTTGCTGCGAGGTCTCCCACCTAAGACTCTAGGGAAAGCCAACTGAGCAGCGCCTCCCCCACCCCCCCTCAGCATTTCCTCCCATTTCATTGAGTCGGTGGGCTGCTGTGGAAGGCTCGAGAAGGTGTTTCCCCATCTCCCCTAATAACTGAACCCCTAGACTGCGGCTTCGGATTTGGGAAATACCTGGGCTGGTTTTTTGACCCTTTGTATTCAAAGATTATTCTCTCCCTAAAATTGGCCATCAAGGACCAGTGAGCTTTAAAAGTGGGGTTAGGTAGGGGTGGTTAAAGGCTGGAGGAGGTCTTGGGGGGCCCGGGGAATTAGAGATTTTGAACGCCTGGTCAACCTACAGTGTCACTTCCTGGTATCCTCCATACTCATTCTTGTGTCATTTGTGTTCTTATTTGCTCTTTGCAGATAACGTTTATTTATAACTGCTGATAGACTGTGGTCTCGACAGTTCCAGTATCAGCATTGAATTAGAGGAGAAAAGCAGTGTGGTGCAGTGGGTAAGTTCTTGGGTCCGGGAATGAGACAGTTAACTGGGCAAGTAATTTAAATACACCTAGCTATGAAAATTAGATAAGATAATGCATAAAAGAATGTTTGGTCCTGTGCCTGGCACATAGTAAATACTTAGTCAAATGGTAGCTAATAAAAAATATTATTGGAAAAATTCTTATTATTTATTGAACCAGCAAAGGAAAGTAAATCAGTTATTAGTAAGACCAAAGTTGCTCAACTGAAATTTAGCCTGGTGGTCTGTTATCCTGACTGCACATTAAAATTATCTAGAGGGGTGCCTGGCTGGCTTAGTCAGTGGAGGGTGGGAGTGTTGATCTCTGGGTTTGAGTTCGAGCCCCACCTTGGGTGTAGAGATTACTTAAAAATAAAATCTTTTAAAATATTAAAATAAAATTATCTAGAGAACTTCTACAAAATACCAATATCTGAACCCCCACTCCACTGATTCTGATTAAACTTGTCTCTAATGCAATTGTGACTGATCTAAGAAGAGTCCAGAGTAACTGCTAGGGATTTCCTATTAAGGAAACAAAAATTCTCCTGGATATAATTGAAGGTATAAAATATTTGGAACTTAAATTTTTACTCAATACATTATACTTAATGAAATTAGACAAGGGGCACCTAGGTGGCTCAGTTGGTTGGGCAGCTGCCTTCCGCTCAGGTCATGATCCTGGAGTCCCAGGATCGAGTCCGCATGGGGCTCCCTGCTCAGCGGGGGGTCTGCTTCTCCCTCTGACTCTCCTCCCTCTCAGGCTGTCTCTCTCTCTCAATAAATAAATAAAATCTAAAAAAAAAAAATTAGACAAGAGTATTAAAGTTATATAATCTATTTCATATCTATCTCAGACTGTTAGATAAAACTTTTCTACTATTAGTTACTTAAAAGCACAGATTTATTATAAGTGTCTCCTCTAGTAGAAATTAAATTCATCCTTCATGGGTTATCTCAACCACTTACTAGAGGAAATCTTTTGAAATTATCCAAAAGGATTTTTATCTTAATCCCTTCGCTTCTAGTACTTTTTTTTTTTTTTTTGCAATCCCTACCTTTTGCTTTCTTCTGTGGCACACATCTTCATACCTATTAATCACTTATCTTACACTGAATATTTCTGGAAGGCCAAAAAGGCACATTACTCATCTTTGTCACTCTTGGAAACCAACTTATACTAGGTTCTCTAGTATTTGTTGAACTGAATATATTCAATTCATATATTGATATATTGACATATATTAATAAAAGTATTATGCATACAATAACTCAAATTATATCTTGATATATCTTTTTAGAATATACTTTTAAAAATATAAATTTTACAAAATTAATGTTTTATACTTCATTAGATTACTGAACACAAATTTTTCCAAGTGTATCATCTCCAAGATTTAATTAACTTTGAAAGGAGCAATTTATCTTATTCGGGAAACTAATTCTTTATACAATTATATTAAAGCTGGGGAAAAATAGGAAAAATTTTAAATGGAGTCATCTTTGGACTTTGGTTTGTAACTACATTATTTCATATAAACAGCAGCTAAAATTATGCAAATATCTGAAACTTATTAATGACACCTTAAAAAGCCTTTGTGACTTAGTTAGCTTGGAAATTATGTCTCCTGAAAGCTGTAATGAGATAATCTCATTAATTTTGGATCATGCAAGTTGATTGATATTTTCAAACCAAGCTAACAGTAGTACACAGCCATTAAATGAATTGTCCTATTTTAGTAAAGCACCAAGCACTCCCCATTGTATAGCTTCTAAACCAGCAGACAGGTGATTCTTGGTCTGTCAAGAAGATGATAATTGTGGAGACAAACAACTATGGTTAATATAGCATTTGTTCTTACAAAGATATCTCAGCAGTAATGGATTTGTCAACACTCCAAGAGATGATTAAAATCTTATGATCACATTCAGAGATTAACTTATTCTTTTTTTTTAGGATTTTATTCATTTATTTGACAGAGAGAGAGGACAAAGCAGGGGGAGTGAGAGAGGGAGAAACAAGTTCCCCACTGAGCAGGGAGCCCCATGTGGGGCTCTGGGGCTCAGTCCCAGGACCCCAGGATCATGACCTGAGCCAAAGGCAAATGCTTAACCAATTGAGCCACCCAGGTGTCCCAGAGATTGACTTATTCTTTTTTTTTTTTTTTTAAGATTTTATTTATTTTTATGAGAGAGAGAGAGAGAGAGAGAGACAGCATGAGAGGGGAGAAGGTCAGAGGGAGAAGCAGGCTCCCCGCTGAGCCGGGAGCCCGATGTGGGACTCGATCCCAGGACTCCGGGATCATGACCCGAGCCGAAGGCAGTCGCTCAACCAACTGAGCCACCCAGGCACCCGACTTATTCTTAATTAAAGGATTTTTACCTCTTCAGAGCCTGGAATATAAAGGCATGTAAAGCAAGAAACTTTCTTTCATAGGTGACACTGCTATTTTTACTTTCTGGAAAATGATAATGCTTTTCTTAAGAAATGAAGGTTTCTGGGGTGCCTGCCTGGCTCAGTCGGTAGAGCATGTGACTCTTGATCTCAGGGTCATGAGTTCAAGCCCCATGTTGGATGTGGAGCCTACTTAAGTTTAAAAAAGGAAAAAAAAATGGAGGTTTTTCACAGTGTATTCTACTTACAATACCAAAAGCATGGGCTTCATGGGTTAATACCGTCCAAGTCATCTATTTACCCCTGTGCCAATGAATTTATAAATACATATTTAATTTTATGCCATGTATATAATATTTAGAAATCAACCCTTAGCCAGTGACCTGGAATTTTTTTAGATTCCTAATGTTACAGGATTTTTTCTCCATCAGTGCCCATGGTTCTTGGTCATGCTGATTCGAAGAATGAAGAGGTAGACCAGACAGAGTGGTGGGCAGCAAAGCAAGGCTTATTGAGTGATAGCAAAGTAACAGTACAAGGCTCCAGAGGAGGGAGGGGAACTGAGAAGGTTGCCATCGGGGTTTCTAAGTCTAGGGGTTTTTATGGGTTTGTTGGAAGGCTATTTAATCTGATTAACCCTCCCTGTGCCTGTCATCCAATCAGGTTTTTGTCATCTATATATCACATGGAAAAGGGTAGAGGGCTCCTTCCAGGGTGGATGTAAAATCTTTTTAAGGCTGGTTTCCTCTTGGGGAGGGGGCGGCTTTGTCCCTGTCTGCTTTTGTTCCAGTTATCCTTAATCCCTAATAATGTGATTCCAGAATGAACACACAAAAGTGGTAAGTTTAGGTGTTCCTGTCTGGCTCAGTCGGTGGAGTTTGCAACTCTTGATCTCAGCGTTGTGGGTTCAATCCCCACATTGGGTGTAGAAATTACTTAAAAATAAAATCTTTAAAAAAATGAGAAGTTTACACAGACCAAAATTGAAGATTTTATTGATGGCATTTTAGCTTTCTTATCCAAGAACAGTCTCTATTTGTTCCAATTGCTTTCTTTGTTTTGGTCTCTCTCACTTCATACTAGTTGCTTTCCTCCAATTTCGGCTAATTTGTTGCTTTCTGCTCAAAGGTTAAAATAGGGCAGAAAAAAAGCATATTGAAAGTTCTGGGTTTGTTGGTGACTGGGTCGATCTGGGGAGATCACCAGTGAAATTGCTTTTCTTTTTAAAGATTTTATTTATTTGAGAGAGAGAGGACATGAGTGCACACTCGTGGCTGAAAGGCAGAAGGAGAGGGAGAAGCAGACTCCCCGCTGAGCAGGGATTCCCTTTGCAGGGTTTGATCCTAGGACGCTGAGACATGACCTGAGCCGAAGTCAGACACTTAACTGACTGAGCCACCCAGGTGCCCCTACTTTTAGAAACAAACAAACAAGAGAAACCCTGCTATCTAGCACTTGAGTGTAAACACATGGTGGGCCAGCTTTTTTTTTTTCTTTAATTAAAGCAGATGACAGTGTGGGGCTTGAACTCACAACCTGGAGATCCAGAGTCGCATGCTCTACTGACTGAGCCAGCCAGGCACCCCTGGGCCAGCTTTCTGGAAGGATGGCTG